AAAAAAAAAAAAAACTTTTCCAATCAACAATTCAATGATAATCTATTTTAAAGTTTAATTTAAATTTGCCTCTTTTTTAATATTGGGGAGGGGGGGGGGGGAAAGGAGAGAATGCTAATCATTGTCATTTTAGTTGTATATACTTTACGCTTTTAGCTTATCGTGAAGCATTTTTAATTTAAATGATATAAATGATGATTACTTCATTTGCTGCAAAATCAAAACATATCACATTCATTTAGCATCCTAAATTGAAATAACCAGGTCTTTTGGATTTTAAATTTTAGATTTTAAATGTTACCTGAATTTATCGATTATAAGGAAAGTATACAATTAATGCTAATCATTAAAGGAAAGTATACAATTAATGCTAATCATTCATTACTTCAAATATATTTTTACTAAAAGTAATCTTCCAATTTTAAAGCTTAATTAAAGCAAGAAGCTATCTTATATAACGAACAAGTTTATGAATAATTCGACGGTAATATATATTTTGTTGATTTTGATGCTAATAACTTTTTTATTTTCTCTTTTTACTTTTTTTTAAACTTTTTCTTTCCTTTATTTTTTACTTTTCTTTTTCATAACAAATATTAATAATCTTTGATCTTTTAACCTTTAGGTGACAAAATCTCAGGATGTCAATTATTGTATTGAAAAAAAAAAAAGGAAAAAAGAAAAAGAAAAAGACAATCATGGATAATTTAGAAGCTGAAAGAGGTAAACAATAAATATTTTAGAAGCAAATTTGCAAATTTTTGTGTGACAAATAACATGAAAGGTAGAGTGTAAGGGTAAAGTAAGATAAAGTAAGATAAAGTAAATAGAGTAAAATAAAGTAAAAAAAAAAAATGAGACAAATATATGGCTATTTGGTATTTTTTCATGTTGAATCGATTACTTTACCATACCGGATTGATGCGTAGTTACGAAACAATAGGTCATTTGCGCAATAGACCATGGTCATTCAACCAATGCTAATGAGCTATAAAAGTGACCAATTATAATAATCGTTGGATGGATCTATTTAACTAATATTTATTGATTTTAAATTTTGTGTTTAATTGAGAAATACCAGGTAGAAACATAAGTGATAGTATAATTTGTACTCATGATGATAACTTTGATGATATTTATGCATAATTATCGTTCCTTTTTTTTTTTTTGATGCATACATCATAATGATATTGTTATCAACATTATGATATTAGTCATGATATGACAATTCTATGCTTAAAACGAATGACAGATTAAATAGATTTATTAATTAATTAAATGATTAATCGATTGAATAGAATAATTTTGAATTAAAATTGAAAAAAAAACGAAATTATTAATGCTAAAACTACAAGCGATAAAATTCATATGCAGTGATAATTTTTGACCTTTACACTTTTGACCTTTTCATTTAATAATTTCACGTCAAAAATTTTTAATTCATTTTTACAAAAAAATTCCTATCATTCGGCATTGAATAATGCATTTCTTTTTACCAAAAATTTTCATATGCATTTGTATCTGTTCGATGATTATCAAGATGAAGAATTCCTGATAAGAATAAGGAGGAATGATAAAGGAGCTGATAGAGAAGATTTAAAATAATGAATGTGAAAAGGAAATGGATGGAATCAGGTATGACAGCTGTTCAATGTCCGTTATTAATGATTATGACTAAGCCACTTTTGCTTCTTACTTGCTTGTCATTTAATCATTTCAACCGTAATCATTTTCTTCTCTTCATCTTATCTATTCGGAAAAATTTTTACCACTTGTGCTATATTTTTCATTTCAGATAGCTCGTAATAATGCTTTATCATTTCTTTTTTTCCTCATTTTTCCGGATTTTACACTGGGAAAATTACCGGAATTTATTGATTTCACTACTAGAAATGGTTATAATTTATATGGATGCTATAAACGAACCGGAAAAATTTACCAACACAAGTAAGTGATCATTTGTAATTTTTTACAAATATAAGCGGTCAAGTGGTCAAGCGGTCAAATGGTCATTTTTAAGTAACCATTTGTAATTCAAACAATTATTATTGACATTTATGCATCAACCTGAAATTAATAATTGAAAATAATGAATATTGTTGTAATCCGTAACAAAATATCTATTCGAATTGAAAATAATTTTCAATTTATTTAAAGCAATGAATAATTTAGAACTTATCCCCGACAATACGAAAGTAACAATTACAATTTCAATGATTTACCTATAGCGTGGGATTGGCGTAACGTAAATGGCGTAAATTATGCTAGCGTTGATCGAAATCAACATATTCCACAATGTAAGTTTTCCGGTTTTCTTTTTTTTGTTTTCCGAAGAAATGAAAACTGACCGAATGTATAAATGAAATGTAAAATTAAACAGTTTTAAGGTGGGTAAAAATTGTTATTTTTTATTATCAAATTGTTTATCATGAAAAGTCCCAAAATTCCTGTCCTTCTTAGGTTTCATTAAATTATTATTATCTCCCTTTAGAGATTACTAATTAACTGATCCTGTTTTGATCTTAATTTTTCTGGATTTGAACCTGAATCATTTCTTCAGCCAATTTTGAAGACTTTCTAAAATTCTAGATTATTCATGATATACTCTGTAACATAATGCTGTTTAATAGGAATGGTTGAGAAGAGATAATATGCGGTATTAGGTAGTTTTATGCAATAGCCTCATCTGTCAATTCACTTAAAAAGTTTGACAAAAACGATAAGAACTTTAAAGGTAAGAAGTGCAATGATCAATTATCATGAGTTTACAATGATCAATGAGATCAATCATCAAACTCAATCTTGTTTATAAATGCCTAATAAATTGCTGAAATGTTCTACACCAATATTTCAAGTATGTTGGAACGATGAAAAAAGCTTAATAAGTGATACTTCATGAACTGATCAAAAATCAATAAAATCGTCACTTTGAAATATCATCTTGTCATATTTTATGTAGCAACATAATCCGATCCGATCGGCTTTTGCTGTGTGACGAAAAGTGATTATGTCTGGTAATTGGACTGATAGGAAGCTTTGAAGTTCATCCCTCAAAGTGAACATTCGACCAAGAATCGATTATCACTATTTGATGATCTTCTGTTACATCTAAGAAGTTTCATTCAGCAACTCAATGAAATTATTTCAAAAAACTGTAATAACATTAGCCAAAAATATTCAATTCATCATAAAAATTCTTAATCAAACAATTAACATTTCCTTAATTTGAAAGAATTAAACTACGAAATCTTTTAATCTTTCCATCATCATATGCATCTGTTTACTTCAAACATTAGATAAGATTAATAAGATGTTACTGGTTAATGCTTCACGAAAATTTCATGAAATTTTGAAGTATACGTTTCTATATTATAGCATTAATAAACATATTTTTAAATATTATAAAATTATAATTCATTAATTACTATGAATTCTATTCAAATTTACACTTTAAAACTCCTCATTGCTTCTTTCTCATTTATTAATGCAATTTTATCCGATGGCTTTTGGTTTTTTTTTTTTCTTAAACTTTGCTAATATTCTAATTTATAACAAATGAAAATATTTGAAAAAAAATTTCAGATTGTGGTTCATGTTGGGCATGTGGTAAGTGTTCCGCTTTTTCATAAATTTTACCATTTCTTTTACATAATATTTTCAATCTTTTTTTTTTTTATCATATCATAAAAAAATTTGGCAAAAGTTTTTTTTTAATCTTTTATCATACCATAATGAAAAAAAAAAACCATAAATACATGATATGCATAACAAATTTAGGTGCGACAAGTGCGCTAGCTGATCGTTTCAATATTAAGCGTAAAGGAGCATGGCCATCTGCTTATCTCTCTGTTCAGGAGGTTCCTTCTTAAAATTGTCGAAATATTTTTTGCATTTTTCAAAGCATAAAAAAAAAGAACGGAAATTTTACAACAAAGGGGATAATTATTTTTTCAATCATAATTGTGATTTTTCATAACTGAAATTTTCAGGTTATCGATTGTGCAGGTTCAGGTAGCTGTGAAGGTGGCGAACCAGGTGGTGTTTATCGATATGCTCATGAATATGGCATACCACATGAAACATGCAATAATTATCAAGCACGAGATGGAAGTATGGAGAATTAATAGTTCAATTTTTAATTTCAAATTTTCAAAATTATCAATTTTAGACCAAAGAATTCTGATTGATGCAGCAAAATTTTCTTAATTCAGGCTATTTAGGTTATGGTAACTTCCTTTTTTAAGCAGTAAAAAAGAATGAATAAATAATAAATTAATGTTGTTTAAAATAAGATTGCAATTTTATAGCTTGTTCACCATACAATAAATGTGGTTCCTGTTGGCCTGGTTCATGTTTTTCAATCAGTAATTATACCATATATAAAGTGAAAAATTACGGTGTTGTTTCGGGTCTTGAAAAGATGAAAGCAGAAATTTATCATAATGGCCCAATTGCGTATGTTTTAAAATATAATTTGTTAAAGATTTTGAAATTTGGCAAATTTTAAAATTTAAATATATAAGAAGTAAGGGACAGTTTATTGGATAGAAAATAATGAATTTGGAAAAAAAAATCACTTTGAACAAATAAATAACTTCAAATGGTTTGTTTCAACTAGAATAACATTATGAATTGTCGAACATTTAAAAAATAATTTTTATTAACCCTTTTATGAATGTTAGAATTTTCAAAGTTAAAAAAACTGGAAGAGTTGATCGTCTAAAGAAAAGTTGATCGTCTAAAAAACTGAAAAGTTGATTGTCTAAAAAACTGAAAAGTTGATTGTCTAAAACACTGAAAAGTTGATCGTCTAAAGAAAAAAAAGGAACCTTTGAAATTGCTTCAAAAATAGCATTAAATTAGTTAATTAATAAATGATTGTTAATGGTATTAGGTGTGGTATTGCTGCTACAAAAAAATTCGAAACATATGGAGGAGGAATTTATAAAGAAAAAACGCCCGAAGATATTGACCATGTTATATCTGTTCACGGTTGGGGAGTTGATCATGATTCTGGTGTACCATATTGGATCGGTAGAAATAGCTGGGGAACGCCATGGGTATGTATTAAAGAATTCATTCTTATTTAGCCATAATTATAAAACTACCAATATCTTAGTCGTAATCTTCAATTCAAATTTAACTAATTTCAAATTATTAGATTTCCAAATGATGAATTTTCTTTCTTCTTATTCCTGGAAAAATATTATAAATTTTCAATCTTAGCAATGAACCGTGACCGGGAAATTGATTATAACCCCAGAAGAACCGAAATGAGTAATAATAGTTATGAAATCATATAATTTCCAGCTATTCCATTTTCTGTTAAAAATAAGCGATAAAAATTTCAGGGCGAAAATGGATGGTTCCGAATCGTAACATCAGAATACAAAAATTCTAGTTCAAAGTACAATTTGAAAATCGAGGAAGATTGCGTTTGGGCTGATCCCATTGTATGATACATTTTTATTTCGTTTTATCTTTTTACCGTTTACTTTAATGATTACTAATGGTATTTATAAATGGAAGTCATAAGATTCAAATATGTAACAGTGCAAAGCAAACACGTTCTCAGCAATTCTTTACAAAAAAAAAAAAAATAAACAAACCACTTTCTGGTACTTATACAATCTGCACTCATGATAACAACTACGCCCTTGGAAAAAAGCTTTAATATACATTCGCGTCGAATGATCTATATCTTCTGAATAATACCCGAAAATTTCTTCGAATTTTGCAAATCCTAAGATACAAATTTTGAGTAGTCGAAAATTCGCACCATTTTGTGGCATTTATAGTGTGCCAAAAAGCTAACAAATGTTTTTATTACATCCCATTCAAAAAATTAAAGTCTTTCAAAATCAAAAATCTTTAGCTCTCTAAGTAATCTCGAGGATTACCGGAATTAGCCATTTCTGTGCAGTTTCATTATCATTAAAATGAAAATTTTGAATGAAATATGACATAATACAATCCATACTTTTCACTTTTTTTTCTAAAACCGAAAATTCTCTGGTTTATAACACAAACATGAAAGCAGCATTTCAAGTCTAAGCCAAAAATTTCGATCAAAATTTCACATTTCTGCAGCATAGCTCACTGTTGCAATTTGACAATCCCTATTTATGTTGGTGGCCAACCAAGCTGACGTCCACCGAGTACATGAACATGAAGATGATAAACACTCTGACATCCATGCTTCCCGTTGTTGATAACCACTCGATAGCCATCTTTCAAGCCTAAATGACTTGCTGCCTTAGCTGCTGCAACCAATAGTTTTCCGAGTACGACCTCGTCCTGTAATTTAAATGTAAAATTTATATCCGAATCAATTTTGCATTCTCTTCGCATGGTTTTCAAAATCAATGAAATCAATTTGATCACTTTCGTATCTATATCTGAAACCAATGAAACATAAAGAATATCTAGAATAAAAGCAGCAAAAAACACCCTATTTTATGATCTCGATCTATCCTGCATGATCCCAAAGCATATCACAAGATCTTGATCATCCTAATTTATTTGCGCTAGAAGGTTAATCATTTCCCTTATAGACCATTCTTTATCCTGTAATGGGATGCTTATCTTTCATTATCGCTTTTCTCTTCTTAATATATGTTGACAATCTTTAGGATTAATAAGCAGTAAGGCTAAGAGGTCTACAGCTACTAAACTTGAGATCGTATTCAAAGTAGCAAAGTGTAAGCCCAGGCAATCTACATAATCTCAACTCAATGCGATAACGACTAACTGGGAGAAAATACCAAAACCTGATCCTTGACGTCTTGTAGCATTGCGATAGATTTCTTAGGTATTACCAGAAAATGTACCGGTGCTTGTGGACTAACATCATGAAAAGCCAGAATCTAAAATTTATTGAATTACAGATTATTTAAAATTAGGAAAATCGGGTCCAGAAGGAGAAAAAATAACAAAGACTATTGCTGATTTCTTTTTTAAACTTCGGTTGCTAGGAAATTAGGAAGATATTTCCTAAACAAATGAAAGAGAACGTTGTTTCAAAGCAAAAATTTGTTTCTAAATTGCAACTTTCGTTCTTTTTGTGAGCAGTGTACCACAAATTCAATCTATTTTTCCACTACTGTGGACTATAGTTGTATTCTTAAAAAAATAATAGGTTGGAAGTACCGAACTGAAATCACGAAACACAAGGACAGAGAGAGTTTAAAGTCCTGCATAGCAATGATTACGACTAGTAAGGGGGAACTGCAGCCTTAGATCTTCTTATTACGATTCAATCTTATACTGGGAGACATATATGGCCGCCTAATTTCGGGTAAAAATAACTTACATCATCATCTTCCATAATGATCTTTGCTGGTATTTCTTTACGAATAATTTTCCCAAAGATTGTATCACTCTCTGGACCGGCCGTCTGGGCTTTCTCCACTTCCGATTTCATTTTTCTTAACATGTAACTGTGCCATTGTTGTTTTTGTTGATAAATTTCACAAAATTTAAAATTCCGTCGGAAGAATGGAGATAATACTTGTATCTTCGGTAAGAATGACATGATGAAATTTTGACTTCAAAGATGGAAGGAATTCAAAACCTGACCGTTTTACGTATTATCTCAACAGATAATTTTATTCTACATTCATTCATTTTTTCCGGACGTGTAAATTTGTGTAAGATCAGTTTTAAATGTATGAATCATTGTTATTTGCGTATAACGAAACGAAACGAGATGACTTATATTTTTTATTTGTGATGTTGTGGAGGAAAGTTTTTTATTATCATGAATTCACGCTATGCATAGTTGCTAATATCACAAAACGAAAAAAGATATCAAATATCTAATTAGTTTTACAACGATTAGAAACATGTGACTATTTTTGAAATTCAAAGTAATGAATAAAAGTGAAAATCCTTTGGCAAATTACTAGAACAAAGATAACGCGGGGTGCGGGGTTTGCGGGGTTTGATGTTCGTTGTAAGCAAAAATTCCAAAGTCCCCCAAATATGTTCGTATATAATATCTTTGGCAGCTAGTTCGCTTCTTGTTGGCGACAGGTCGTTGTTACATTTCATAAATGTTTGAAGGGAGAGACCAAGTTTGATAAAATTATTCTCTTCAAGGGTTAAGACTGGTTTTGTTTAGCACATCAGTATCTATTATTCTGGTTGAATTTTCCGGATTTCCGATTTTTCCGGACAGATGCGTCGTTCCTTTTCATTGTATTCTTTGTCGATTGTTGTTGCTTCGAAAAGTTTTTCAAACTTTTAATTTTTAATTGAAAATTCAAAGATCCTGTTGATTTGGAAGTCATTTCGGAAATTTAGTGCAAATTTATTAGTAGAAATGGCTGAGTTATGTGGAACATCATCATCGACATCATCAGTAGACAGATGGAACGAAATGGATGTCGCATCGAAGATCTGCTCTTTAACCTATCGTCCTCCAGCATTGGATGATAAAATATTCAAGGATGAGTGTATGTACTGCTTCAAGACACCTCTCCATCCAGGTAGATGTCCATTTGAATTTTCAGGACAAATGGGAAAGAGTTCGGCCTTAAAGCAGTAATTTAGGCTATTCATAATACACAAGTGATAATTTAATACTAATAGTAAAGTTAAAGGTAGTGGTCCAGGACGAACATTAGGTTAGAAGAAGTAACAGTCCAAAATATCGGGTTCAAATAATTCATTTGTAACTAAATTGCAACTGTTAATTAAGCCATAAATTCGAAAATTTCTAAGCAAAAAGCAAATCCTATAATTAGTCTGAATACCAGATGATAACATTGGGATGTTATTTCTTAATATTACTTATTAAGCCAGTATTTGAGTCAATATTTTGCCAATATTTAATGAGCCAATATTTGTTTTTGTGGTATGCAATGCTCAATTTGTTTTTGTGGTATGCAATGCTCAATAGCTGAAAATCGGTTGTGGAAATTAGTGGGGATGATTTCTTATAGATAAATCTTAAGCAAACTAAGGTAGTTTGGAACAATCTCCTTGAGCTCTAGACTCCGAAAGAATTCTGATAAGTTTTGATGAATCCCGAATTGTCTGGTAAATCATATCTATAAAAGGAGAAGTGTGAAAATGTAGTTATTTTCAGGTGGATTATATGTTTGTCTGGAGAGGTTTGCTGGGTTTTGTACTGACCATGTGTTGGGTTATTATAAGCGGACGGCACGAAAAGGTTTCCTGTGGTGTAAGCAGATCAAAAAGATGCTACCAGACGCGGATGAACCACAAGATAAAGTTACCAAGGTTTGTGAAATGCGCTTTCAGTAAACATACGTATGGGTTGGAAGGAATTTGTTCTTTGTGTTAGTGCATCCTGTTGCGTATATATATATACATATATACATATATATATATATATATATATATATAGTTATTTTAATTATTTCAATGTAAAAGAATCAAGATAGTCTGGAGGAAGCCGCCGAACTGTTATCATTTTAAGATGATAAAAAAAATAGAAATAAAAGAAAAACTTGTAGAAGGCAAGGAAGGTTGTATGTAATCTTTTTGTGACAGTTTCCCAAAAATCAAATCCGGTACACAATGCGATGCACTATGCAATACGTTATGAAGACTTGAACTAATTCTTTGATGAACGATAATTGATTGCTTATAAAAAAAATAGCTCAAGAGTTCTCCTCTGAGCTGTGTTAGTTTCTTAAAAGGTAGCATCTTAAAATGTTCTTAAATGATGGATAATTATAATTTTCTTCTAGGAAAATAGATATTGATGATATTGCACATCATTTAAGTTACCGTTTTCAATAAATCTTAAATGTTCTAATAAATGAGCTCTAACCATTACAGCTTGCAATTGGTGTTGAAGGAGGCTTCAGTTCTGGTCCAAAATATGAGATTATTAACGATTATGCAGTCGTACTTGCTCCAGATCTCGATGAAAAAGTTCCTTTTAACAAGTCAGTTCTTCACAGTGTTTAAATGCATATTGTGAATTTCGAGTTCAGAAGCATTCAAAAGTAGAACTGCGTATATTTGCAATTACTTTTTCCAGGCTTACAGCGAAATTGACGAACGTTTGCCACAAAATTATCGAAAAAGAAGGAGTACAAAGACAAGAGATATTAGAAGCAGGAATTAATGTTTGGGAAGGTGAAGCACGAATGGATACGAAGCATTTGAATTTGGAACAAGTATGCAGATTTCTATAAAAATTGTTCCTGTTTTGGTGGTGTAGAACTTGATTCATAGTTTTAAACTTTAAGTTCAATCCTGAAAATTATTGATGTTAAACGCGACCGAAAATTTCCAGTTATTACAGTTATTGATATCGTTGTCTTTTCGCATTTTGACGAAATTTAGCAATTTTTAATAAGTTTCATTTCTAAAGATCGACAACGGGAAGAGAATACCTCCATGGGGATGGAAATGTGAAGAAGAAGGATGCGATCTTAAGGAGAATTTATGGTTGAATCTCACCGATGGTGCAATTATGTGTGGCCGTTCGCAGTATATCCAAGAAGGAGTGATGAGCAAAGGTCGAAATCATGCGCGACTACATTTTGACTTGTATGAGTTATCTATAACGGTCGATCTTTAAAAAAAAAAAAAAGTTTTGTTAGCTTTATTTATCATTAAAATATGATATGTCCGATTGGTATCGCTCCTTGAAACGTCATCATTATCGTAGACGGCATTTATGCATATCAATCCATTTAAAAGGGCGTAATTTGGAGGTTAGTTAGATATGGAACAAAGACGATAATTTTACTAGTTAGAATCTATGTTTGCACATGATTGTGTGATATAGGTAGTTGACAGAGGATAGATTTACATAGTTAAACGCTGGGCTCATTTAACTGGATTTTGGCCATACGTAAAACGTCAAGTCGTTATCAACAGACTTAGCAATCATAATCCTTGCAAAAGCCAGTTGTGGAGAGGATTTTTCCTTCATGTCATAGTGGATTTTCAGGACTGGTTATCCTCTGGTCGTGAAATTAGGTACGATTACGAAAGATGATGCAGATGTGTTTAGTTACGATGAAGACGAATCGGTTCGTGACCCGAACTTGAAAAAACATTTGATTCATTTTGGTATTGATATGGATAAAACAGAAAAGACTGAAAAAAGTACGCTTGAAATGGAGCTTGACCTTAATCAGAAGTAAGTGTTGTGTTTTTTCTTCCAAGAATTTGATTCAGGAATTATCAAAACTCTCCGGTTATTTAGGGTAGTGCGCCCCTATTTTTGGTGTGACTGCATACCGGATACGACCGGTTACCAGACTGTTGCGTTTTAGCTTTTTACTGATTAGGCTATCTGTGGTTTATACCTCTAATCTTCGTTGGCCAGCATGCGGCAGTGTTACTTTCGCTTGCTTTGAAACTTCGAAGATGCTCCCTGCTTGATCCAACATTACTGTTGTTGCCACTGTCATACCATGACCATGATGTGTCCAGGTCAGATTTCATGAAAGTTGATTCAATAAAATACCAGGAAGTATCGGAAATGTCTTTCATACTGCTTGCTTTTTAAAGGTGGGAATGGGAAATGTGTCAGGAGGATGGTGCAAATCTCGAATTGGCCTATGGCCCAGGCCTTACTGGAATCATAAACATTGGCTCATCTTGTTATATTAGTGCAGTGAGTGCCTTTTCTTTTTTTCTGCATTTTTTTAGTTCGTATGCAATACCTTATGTGTTTTCCAATAATTACTGTACAGTGGCCACAAAACATTCTGTCCTTCATTGATTATCGCGTAGGTTTTCTATTTATACACGATTTAGTTGTAGTCAGTTGTAGTCTTCGTAATCTATTTCAGCTTAATCTCCATTGAGATATCAATGGAAATGTCGTAGCCTGTGCAAAAGTTTTTTGTTCGTTTCTCTTTTACTGCAAGATTTAGTTGCAGAAAATTTATTTTCAGACGTTGCAAATGCTGCTTCAAATTCCTGATTTCGTACAAGCCTACGGAATAGAATGTGAAAAACATTTCCTCAACGTTGCAATACTCGATTCTCATAATGATTTCAATTGTCAGATAGCGAAAGTATTTTCGAGTTTATTAAGCGGTGAATTTTCCCAAGTAAGCAATTACATTTATTACATGCAATCATACACGCACTGTTTTGACGCATCATTTCATATTGAATTGTAAGTGCATGAGATAATTTCAGAGAGACAGTGAATGTAACGGTATCAAACCAGTGCAGTTCCGAAAAATAGTATCAAGAGGAAATGCGGAATTTTCAAGTACACGACAGCAAGATGCTGATGAATACATAAGGTATGGATAAAATTAAATTTTAAAAGGAAATGCATTGTCATTTCACTCCTAAGAATTTAAATTACAGAAACTTTTTGCAAACCGACAAGTATGACCAATTTAAAATGTAATCAAAGACTGGGCATGCTGTTTCTTGGTTGTGAAACTTCTGGAAGGAAATCATTTTTCATAGTTGTGTAAAAATTTCTTAAAATCTCTACTATCAATGGAAAATAAGATCTTTAATAAATTGTGCTACACATCATTGTTGGGATCCGATGGAATTGCAAAGCAGAGATTTTACGCCAAAACAGTTTTCGAATTTATGTAGGATTAACCTATTTCTTCCGTGGAATAAACGGCTTCTAGCGTCCAAATAAATGGTATATAGCATTCTAATGGTAACATTTCTAGTTAGAGAATGTTTGCTTCGACCTTCTCCTTCTTTCAGACTACTTTTTGATCGAATAGATGGATTTCTGAAGAAACCTAAACCAGTTGACGCAGTGCGATTTAAACTAGAGCAGCGTTTGGAAGATAATGCGACGAATAGGGTCCGTTATAGTTATACGGAAGAAGTAATACTTTCGTTGAACGTACCAGAAAAAAGTGCTTCTAAAGAACCTGCAGTAAGTTTGTTCAAAATCATAATTTGAATTCTTAATTCATTTCTGAAAGCTTCTACCAAAAAAATTACTGTTATCTCTGGCGAATGATGATTGGGATATTCATTCGTATCGTAACAGTGATCTTACAGAAATCTATTCTGATCATATCACCGTAATTTCTGGAATGGAAGTAGGACGTACTTCTGGATTGACTGATTTTTAGGATGTTGATATGCATCAGCGTTTAGGAATGCGCTGAATTTGAGACGATGAGAGAGTACCACCGATCAATTGAAAGTGAACTTTTTTTCAATTTAAATATTGTCTAGAGAAGTCCGAACCTATATTTTAGGAAACAATGGAAACGGGGGCATCAGTACGACCTACCGTGTCATTTGCTGAATGTTTGTCAGCAACATTTGGCAAACAGGAGATTGATGATTTTCGATCGCCGATAACAGACGAAGTAAAAGGAGCTATCGAGCAATACAGCATCGCTACTTTTCCGGATTTTCTGATTATACAGCTTAAAGTTAGTAGCAGTCTTGACTTTTTCTGTTATGAAAGGGAGTTTTTGTTGCAGTATTTGTTCTGTATATATCTCCAGATGCACTATTTTTTTTTCACAGAAATTCACCTTGGCAGAGGACTACAGTGTTAAAAAGCTGGATGTCAATGTGGAAATGCCAGACGAAATTGATTTGGAAGCATTTCGTGGCTATGGGAAACAACCTAAAGAGATGTTGCTACCACATGAATCTGCTAAATCAGAGCTAACATTGGGCCGACCTTTGCCCGGCATCGATCCTGAGGTTTTTGACAAGGTTGGTGTTTAATTAATTCCAATTTAATAAAAATTAATAGATTGTGAACTACAGAGTTAAGTAATCCTCCTTCAGTAATGATGCGATCGAAAGTTGAAGCAGTTGTAGATGGTTTTCTAAAATAGAAATCGGATAAGTTGTTGATAATTAAAGGTTCATAATGCAGTAACTTACGGGTTTTGTTGAAGTTTAGCTCTGTAGATCAGGTCTTACACCAGAAGCTGCACGTCGTGCTATTCACATGACCAAGAATACTGGTTTCGATGCAGCATTAGATTGGTACATGCATAGTATTGGTGATAGGGACATCAACGAGGAGCATCCTGACTTGCGGTCGGAGGTCATCGCGTTGCGAGTTTTTTAGTCAACATTTCCTTCATATATATATATATATATATGAAATTTTTTTTTAAATTAAAATAAACAGGGGAATTGCCTTTCCAACTGTTAGTGGCGTATTCATCAGCACTATGAGTTGGATATGATTTCTTTTGACTGACTCATGTAGTAACTCATTATTTAATATATAGATCATTGGTGTTTCAAACTGCTCTTCCTGTCCTCCCAATCTCTAACCTGTTTCCTTGAATTGTTCAAAGATTTTGGATTATATCTCGTCGAGCTCCAACATTTATATTTGTAGTACAATGCCTAAGAATGGTTTCGTAGAAGTCTTATTTTTTTTGAAAATTGTTTCAGATTGTTGGGAATGTGCAGATTTTTCCAAACTTTTTTTCTTCCTTAATAATTTTTCAAATATCACCATCATTGTAGGTAAGTGATGTCGACGGAATAGCGATTGAACAACTTACAAACCTCGGATTTTCTGTTTATCAGGCACGTTATGCTCTTCAAAAAGTTAATACTGGTATAAACGATGCAGCTGATTGGCTTTTTTCGAATGTGGATGCTATACCACCTGAGGAGAAAGATGAGGAGATTAAGGGTAAGCAAAATTAGTAATGTTCGGATATAATATTTGCATTTACTTTACTCACTATTGACAGTATTGATCAATGCCCTACTTTTGTGTTGGTGCAGTGAAAAATTATTCATGCAATCACTGAATGAGTAATTAACTGATAACACACTAAAATTAACTCACTGACTTTTTCTTTATTTGAAGAATACTTTTTTTCGGTAGACGTGCCAAAACAATGTCGTGATGGAAAAGAGCGTTACCATCTAATTGGTTTCATATCACATATGGGAAGTTCACCATTTTCAGGACATTATGTTGCGCACATGAAAAAAAGTAAGTTTTATCTGTGCGTTGTAAAAATTCCTTCATTATATATATATATATATATATATATATATATATATATATATATATATATATATATATAT